TATGGACAGAGCCTCCTGTAACTATGAAGCTATCAAAAGACCAACTAAGGGAAGTTGTTGAAAATCCTGAAACCAGTCTTTTGGCATACGTAAAATCATACCCTTGTCACACACAAGCGGCTGAGAGGGCCGTCAAAATAGTAACAGAAGGTTCAGCTTCTGTCTGTGGAAGTGAAAAAGGAGACGGTTATATAAGGAACAGGCTGAAATCAAGGGAAAATATGCCGAAATATGAATTAAAGAAAGACTTTTTTTTTAAATAATGTGATTGTTACTTTTGAAAGACATTCTGTTTTGTATCGTTATATATTTATAGATAAACTATTTTTGTATTTGTATTGTTGTATTATGTGTTCAAAACAAATTTAGCTTTAATATAAATTATTTTTTTGTATGCAAAAAATAAATCTACCATACAATACATTTTTTTTTGAAAAATTATTAATTTTATACAGCGCTGTGGCAGTAGAAAAAAAAATTAGTTGTCAAAAAAAATAATATGATCAAATTTATCGTATAAAACACTTTTTTTGACTCAGGCAACCATAATAAATTAAAAAAAAAACGAATTTGACATAATATTAAATGATTGAATTTTTTCGCAAAAATCTCGTTCTTATATAGCTCTGTGGCAGTGGAAAAAAATTAAATTAATTATAAAAAAAAAACACTGTGAAATAAGTTATCTTATCATACATCTTTTCTGGGGTCAGGCAACTCAATTAAAAAAATAAAATAAAAACACATTACTCAACGGCCCACCCTAATATATATATATATATATATATATATATATATATATATATATATATATATATATACCGGGTGGTGAATCGTCAAACGGGCCATAGGAAACTCAATGAAAAATTTTAAATTGTTGAATTGCTGCTTCCCTAATTATTTTAGATCAGAAGTTATAAATACTATTTGTAGAGGACTAAAATCTTAATTATAAACAAATGTTAAAACCGAGAAATTTTAAATTGTTGAATTGCTGCTTCCCTAATTATTTTAGACCAGAAGTCATAAATACTATTTGTAGAGGACTAAAATCTTAATTATAAACAAATGTTAAAACCATTCTACGAATTAAAGGTACTTCAAAAATTTGCAAAAATATAATACATTTTTCAGGTCACCCCTAAAAGTTAGGCCACACCTAGAGCAAGAATGTATATTATGCATCGAGCAAAAAGACAAATTGTCTTTTTGCTCGATGGTATGATATGTGTGATTTATCATATTGATGTCAGATGTTCGACAATATTTGAATTGTTAATTTTTGATTTTTTATTATTAAAATAAACAATGAATTTTACTACATACTACTACTACTGAACAAAAAATATTACTTTGTGAAAAATAAATTATATTGTTTACAAATCAATAAATATAATGAAATGTACTCAGTTGACGAAAAATCGTAATGTTGTATTCAGGCAATAGTGCCAACCTTTTCATTGTCTAAGATGCGAGCACTACCAGATCTTTATTTAACGTAAGATATTCTAATACACTAAAATTTAATTAAAAGTTATACAACAATTCAATGAATTCCAATATAGTGTTACTGTGATCCTTATTCCTTAAAATAATTTATGATAATTTCTAAACATAAAACTATAACAAATGTTATAATAAAATCTGAATAAAACATTTTTATTATTGCTCTTTCCTTCTCAACTGATTAAATTTTTTAATCAACTTAGTTTTTTTTAAACAGTGGATCACAAAATAAAAATGTTGGCCTTTAATCATTAAATCATTTCTATATTATATATTACTACGATTAAATATAGATAAATATAATATAGTTGATTTAAATATTGTCAAATATCAGAAACATCAATATGAAAAAAGGCAACACGTAATACACATTTTTTCACGGCTTCAGGCCTGACTTTTAGGGGTGGTCTGAAAAATGAATTATATTTTTGCAAAATTTTGGAATACGTTTAAATCGTAGAACAATTTTTGTTTCAACAACATTTCATGTTTTGTTTTGAACAACATTTGTTTTCGATACATATTTGAGTCCTCTACAAATAGTTTCCAATGACTTTTGGTGTAAAATAATTAGGGAAGCAGGAATTCAATAATTTAGATTTTCCCATTGAGTTTCCTATGGCCCGTTCGACGATTCACCACCCTGTATATAGTATACAAAAAACATAAGTACATATCTTAGTGGGACAACCTAAAAAAAATTGTGCGCTATTGGGATATACTGATGATTTGATTGGAAAATCATTACTTTAACAAAAAAAGAAGTATTGACGTCATAACTACTTGTTTTCTACCTCATCTATAGTTTATTTTTATGAACGAGAGAGTAATTAGCATAATTTTAACTGGTACCTCCGACCACTCCATGGGAGTGCTCAAGATTAATTGAAAAATTACTTTGAATAATTGTAAAAAATAAATGAATTATTTCAGTGTTATAAAGTGTTATGTGTATGTAAACAAAAGTGACCTCTTTTATCACACACTATATTAGAACTGACTGGCCTACATTAAAAAGGGTTTTAAAAAATTCACATTTTTTTTTAATTTTTAAAAATTACAAAAGAGAAAAAGAGTTTTTAAAACCGTCTAAGGTATGTTAAATAGATGAATAAAAATATTAATATAAAACTTACAGCTACTTGTTACAAATCCAAATCAGATTCAGAAGATGAACTTTCAGAACCAAGATTTATAATAACTGGCTCGATCATTTTATCAGTAATATTGTCCAGCTTCCACATTTTTTCCTCTTCTTTAATAGTGTGATTTACTGCCTTTTCCCAGTTTTCAGGTTTTACATTATTTACGGCCTCCAAAAACAACTGTTTAACATCATGAATTTTAAAAGTGGTATTTTTTCTTGAAACTTCACTCTTTATCTGTGCCCATACCAGTTCAATCGGGTTTAATTCACAATGATATGGTGGGGATCTAAGTACTGTCATTCCACGATTTTTGGCAATTTCATCAATTTCGTATTTTTTAAATTTTTCTTTATGAAGGGCACACAACGAATAAAGTTCCTTTCTTATAGATCCGGGATGGTACGTAATATTTTTTGAACTCAGCCAATTCTGCAAGTCTTTTTTTAACCACTTGGTTGTGGGCAGTCCTTCTATAAGTCTGGAGTGATAACTTGCATTATCCATTACTATTACACAGTTCTTAGGAAGAAGATCTATCATTTGTTCGAACCATTCTTGAAAGACATCAGCGTTCATGTCTTCATGGTAGTCACCGGTACGAGTTGATTCAAAAGTTAATAAACCACCTTCAACAAAACCGTCTGAACTGCCAATGTGTACTATTATCAGCCTGCGTCCCTTTCCTGATGGTGGGTTTAAACCAGTAGATAAGTTATTTACAAAAGCGTGCCTTTGACTTGTAACAGTTTCATCCTGCCAAAATTTATTTGGTGTATGACCCTCGTTGATCCATGTTTCATCAAGATAAAATATTTTTCTTTTTTGGTTTCTCATTTCCTTTATGGTTCTTAGAAAATGTCTTCTCCATATGACAATATCGCTTCTTTCTAATAAAATAGACTTTCTGGGATTCTTTTTCCAGCGGAAGCCTATTTCTTTTAAAAGTTTCCATAACGTACTTCGACTCATTTCTGGGTAATCCTTATCATCTCGAACTGAGACAAGAACTTTATCCAATGTTGGAAATTCTTGTCTAAAGAAGAATTCATGCACTTTCCGTCGAAGTCCTTCTTTAAAATGATATTCTATTTGAAATTTTGGTTTCCCTGGAGCATTACGTGGCATTTGAAAACTACCACATTTCTCTTCTTTAATAACTCTGTAAATCGTAGATTTCCCAACACCAAGTGTACTGCTAACTAACTCAACGGTCTCATCAACACTTTCACATAAACGTTTGTCTGTAAATGATTTAAAACAATTAAATATTAATGTTTTGTCATTAACTGTTAAAGGACCAATTTTTCGGCGTTTACACGGCACTTCCAAATTTTCCATAACACTAGTATACACAATAAACTGCACCTTGCAACTGAAGTACCTACTTTTAGTGAACTGTTAAGAATTTTGAATACGCCACTTGGACCTTCCTACAAAATGGAAAAACCCACTATCACATTTTCTGTGGAATAAGTTTAGAAGGTAATTATCTAGTCAATTACTGTCGTAGATTCCTGGAATTAAAGAATTAAATGTTTGATTGTTGAAACCCTTACTTCGTGGAATGCACTCATTTCAGATAAAATAAAACGTTTTATTTTATCTAAAGAATTAAACTTTATTTTGCAAATAGGTAGGTACTTATTAAACTTTTATTGGTTATATATAACCAATAAAATAAACATCTTACATTTCTTGCAAATTCATTAGTACCTGTTAACCTCCATCACTCCGACACTGGCAACCTTATTTAGGGATAAGTAACCCTTACAACTATTGTATTCTATTCTGCTCCAACCTTTATACCTGGTGGTCATACTCAATTTAAAATTGTTTTCCTATATACTTCTGTAAACTTGTTGACAAATATCTGTTTTCATTGAGTCACCCGTATCAACAGTTTAGGGATTTGCATACATAATTTATTGTTTTATTACTCTGTCATACATAAAAATACACTACAGTTTTCGGTATACCCTGTAAAACATACCAAGACACCATGTACAGTATGTGTTGGTTATTCGCAAACATTTATACAATTTTTTAAAATAAATATTTTATTTTGTCACTTGTATCCTGAATGAGTCAGTTTATATTTAGTTTTGTAGTTATAATGTGTATTAGTAAAAATGAACATATTAAGATGTGCACCTGTATACAGATATGCTTAAGAAACAGTCACTTGATAGTAATGTATTACTGTTTCCCAATACAAAATAAAGTTTAACAACTTAATTGAATTGACCAGATGGTCCCAGTTGTTACATAAAATCTCTCTAAAAGATAAATATTGTACTTCTGGTTTAGAATCCCCTGTCTAATAAACGTTATTTTGTAATTTTTCAGATCGGTGTGAAGCTGCTGGGTCAATCGAAACCCAAACCTCTTAAGGAATTAGGTATTAAGTTGAATAATGTCTACAAGCGATCAAAACAAGCACAAACAGAAGAAAAAGATTACGATGATCCACTCAGTTGGAAGGGTTTAATAGAAGTGGATGTCATAATTTACCCCACAATGAAAGGTGAACTGGAGATTGACGAAAAAGGAACGACTTATATTATAAAATCTCAGCTGAAAACTCCGCAGGGATTTATTGATATTTTCGATGAGTTTGATTTTATTGTAAGTAGATAATGTTATTTAAAAAATGTAGTACAGTAAATAGGGATTTTTAATTTTTACATATTGAAACACAATTTTAAAATATAATATAATTTAAATAATATTTACTAATAATTATAGTACAATTCAGGTACTCCAAAATAACATAAATCACAGTAGAGGTAGTAAACCAATTACGACAAAAATTTTTTTGGACACTAAGAAGGCTTATTTTTAATGGATATTTTAAATTTATTTTTGACTTTAAATACTAAAATTGTTTGTCTAACTGTAGACCATTTGCAGTTTTAACCAATCTAGTTAGATATCTAATTGTAATTACTTGAGTGGAGGGGAATGCTGAAGAGTTAAACTTAGAGATCTCATAGATATACGAAAATTAATGTTTTCTAGTAAATAATTTACATTCCTTTTGTTTTTCCCAGTTGCATTTCCGCTAAGAAGTTTAGCTATCACTAATTGACTTCAGTTTGTTACTTGTCCTTAATTTACTCCGTCAATTATTAGTCTAGATATTTGATTATCAGACATGGAGAGGAATATATTGATTAATTATATATATATATATATATATATATATATATATATATATATATATATATATATATATTCTTGGAAAGGACTTGAGTGACTATGTGAGTATTAATATAATATGAATATATTGGAGCCAATACTGGCCTTTAAATAAAACTCTTAAAAAATTTTTTTATTTCAAATCCTTTATAAAAGGTATACAGTAATGAGTGCCTCACCACCCGGCTTTTAACGTAAGAGATAGAAAACACAGTTACCTTGTGAAATAAAAGGAGATGAAACTCGTAGAGGTGGGAACTAATCGATAGAAACCTATAATTTACATTACATTGCATTACCACTATCGATAGTCTCACACCTTTAGACGTTAGCTTCGAGCTAAATCACCTCGGTCATAATTATTATGTGTGACGTCGTATGTGTGACGTATTTCCATTTTTTAATTTCGCATAAAGTAAAAACTGATTGACCACAATACAGCAAAAATGTGAATAAAATAATTTAATTAATAGTGATTATTTATTCTAAAGTTTTAAATTATTAACCAAGAATGATTTCTACTATGATTTGAGGAGTTTCATACACTCTTGTCACGAATAATTAGCAATCCTTCGTGGATTAGTGGTAAGAATTCGACACTGCGACGCAGACGATTAGAGTTCAAAACCTACATGTGTTTTTTTTTAATAATTTGAAATTATGCAGAGATCGTTTTGCTTTGAATCACTAAACATTTATGTCAGTCGTTACTAGTATTAGAAGTGTTTAAAGTTAAACAAAAATATCTTATTGAAAAAATAGTGTCGTCGTACTTTCGAAAATAAAGTAAAAATTCTTCAAAATTAAATGAACGTTTAAGAATGTTTAAATAAGTAAACTGTAAATAATAATAACCCAAACTGTCACTAAAGAATTATAAAAGTCTGATGGATCAGAATTCAAGGCACGATGTACTCATGCAGGCGGTTAGGGTTCAAATCCCACATGAAGTTTTTACTTTTTTAAAAATTTGAAATTATGCAGATATTATATCGTTTTGCTTTAAATCACAAAACATTTATTTCAGTCTTTATTAGAAGTGTTTATAGTAAAACATGAAAATCTTATTGAAAAAACAATGTCGTACTTTCGAAAATAACGTAAAAATTCTTCATAAAAGAATTAACATAAAAGAACGTTCTAAATAAATGTACTTACACAAAATGTTTAAATAAGTAGAAATTCTATAAAAATATTCTAAATAAACGTATTTTATTCTAATGAAATGTATTTATAAAAAAAAACCTTTGAATAAGCCACCATTATCAACAGAACAATAACCCAATCTATTACAAAAGTTTCATCTATTATTAGTTAATGTTTTTGGACAAATACCTCTCATTGAATCAGAGATCTTTTTTCTTAATTCTTGGAGAGAATTAGACTTATCGTCTTTAATTCTATATAGTTTGGACTTGATATATCCCCAGATAAAAAAATCACAGGTGATTTTGAAGGCCAAAAAATATCTCCGTGGCCACTAATTAATCGATTAGAAAAAGTCGCACTGAGATATTCACTGATGATGCAAGAATTATGTGAAGGACAACCATCGTGTTGAAACCATATGGAATCGAAAGGAATTGGTAAATTACGAAGGGCTGGGACAATTTGATTTTGCAGAAGTTCCAAGTATTTCCGCCCAGTCAACATACCGTCTATAAAAAATTGACTAATGACATGATTCCCTATTATGCCTCACCAACCATTTACTTTTCGAGGACGCTGGGTACGAGCGACATAAATCTGACGAGGATTTCCTTGAGGGGGGCCATGTAAGATACCCCCATTTTCAGTTTTTATTAATCAAAAGTCTATTGCATTTACCCTTATAAATACCATGAGGATTGTTTTTTAATACGGATGTCCTTCAAATGTTTTCATCTGGCCATACAATGTTTTTTGACAACTTTTGATTAAACTAATGATGGAATGATTCAATTCCGAAGAGATCTTTAAAATAAAAATTTTAAGCTTTTAATAAGCATTTTTTTATACCTTAATACACACGAACACCACGTGCTTTGTATTCAACAGGTATACTAGCCACTCCTGGATATCTCCACTTTATGGTTTGTTCCAGTTTCACTCTTAATAATAAATAACACTATTTTAAATCCATAATTAATTATTTCAAAATATGGTTGCCTATGTAGATGGCGTATTCAAATATATTTATAATATCATAATTATTAAAATAACCAAATACATTGCAAAATAAAAACTTTTTAAACTTATTATTATGCTAATTTCTGAAGAATGCCCTCATATAAATACTTTTTATAATATTCTCTAGTATATAACTTATATATTATTTCTTTAATCACTATTTAAGTTCATTCTAGGTTACCTTCGTTTCTCCTATATGTAATATTATCTCAATATGTATACATGTAGATATATATATATATATATATATATATATATATATATATATATATATATATATATATATCCCACTATCATTCTAACCTCTTTTCACATTGCAGTAATGATGTGGCATCACCAAGAAGTGCTATCATTTTCTATTTACGTGTATGTTCGTTGAGTGTATCTTTCTAGGCTTTGCACCGTTGTCGGTTTTTTAATATTCCCATGTTTTTATATATTTAATTTACTTTAAATTGGCATTTTGAACTCAGTAGGTAAAAGTATTGTATTTTTTATCATTATGGTATCAACATATATTGCCAAAACAATATTTTTTTGTAATACAGTAAAAAGGTAGATAAATACCGATCGGTTTGAGTAAATTTCAAAGAACGACATTCAAACTACCTGCCTGCTAGCTGGTTTCAATGGGTTTATCATCTTTTACATATATTATGTTTTCCTAGAAAATTGTGTAGGGGAATATTAGTCTTTAAATACTTATTTTCTATTATCTGAAGTATTTACAGGGAAAGATGGTAATCAAAATATGCAAAAGAGATCCAGAAACCATTTTTTCATTAGGCAATCATGCTTACCAAAAAATATTTCGTATTTCAACTAAAAGTATAATTAAGTAAGTGCATACCTCGTTCATAACTCTGCTAAAATTTAACTATGGTCTCTTTCTAAGATCTTCTTTTGGATTGGAACCGATTAGACTCCCTTTTATTCCGTTATATAGAATGAAATGAATTTAAATCATGTATTTTTCAAATGTCTCAAACATAAGGATAAGACTAGGGATATTATTCTAGACTTAATCCATCTTAACATTATTCTACCGGTTAACATCAACAATTTTTTGTCTTATTTGGACAAACCTTTTTTTGAGGTTTTAATTCAGTTTACAAACAAGTCTATCTACCAATTTCGGTGTCAAAAAGACTTTTACGCCGTAACTAAAAACGCATATGTGATAATTCAATATTTTCATCTATTGTTCTATAGAAGCACATAATATTATACACAGTAAATATTAGAAAAAAATATTTTACAAGATTATTAGTTTAAACAATACTTACTTTTATGTTTGCTGTTCAGTATGACCAAGAATTGCATTTTGATGCTTGTAATACCGACCAAAATAAAACTAAATTAAATAAAAACAATAGCAAGTTTTTGATAGACCGAAAGAAATAGATAGATAGATAGATAGAATATGGATAGTAATAATTATTCGAAATTAACAATAATTAATCGCTTAATAAATCAAGACAAATATATAGCTACAATATTTATTTTGCACTAACTTTATAACTTTTTATTTTTAGGATATTATGGCATTCAAAAATGATCTGGAAGTAAAAACACCATTTCCAACTTTAAAAACCATCAACTCCGCCTTTGAGTTGAATATACAAACTGGACATAAATATTTCTTTACTTTTTCTTTCGACTATCAGAATAAAAGTCAGTTAGTAGAGGTAAGAAATCAGTTATTATATACATTAAAATAAGTTTTTAGGAGCTAGTTAGAAGGGTTCAGCGCAGATCCTCATTTGCGGAGACTGTAGCATCCCAAAGTAAGACCGATGTTGGTTCTTTAAAGCTAGCGATTACTAACATATTGGGTGATATTAATAAACTTAAAGATCTACAAATCTGATCGCAAATTCTGATAAGAAAATGGTTATACATATTAGTACAATAGTTCAGTAAAAGGAAATGCTTACTGAAGTATTAATACACGAATACGTATAACAATTTTCCCGTAAAAAACGGTTTACAATTTTTGTATGAAAATTTATGCCATGTGTTTACATGCGTTTTCCAATAAAACCGAAGTAGCGAACAATTTTTTTTTCGATTTTTTCTAGATTTTAGGGGATCTCTAAACGTTCACTCCCCCCAACTTTTTTGTAGTATGATATTCGAATAAAAATTGCACGTAAATATAATAATAATATACCTATTTTAAAATGCTTTTATCTCTTTGTATTTTTTTGTAAAATTATTAGTTTAGAAGATACAGCCACCTTTCTAAATGCAATATTACATTACAAAAAAGTTGGGGGGAGGAAAAGTTTAAAGACCCCCTAAAATCTAGAAAAAATAGGGAAAAACTTTTTTCGCTACTTTAGTTTTATTGGCCATGGCATGCTAACATTATACTTAATACAAATTTTCATAAAAAAATTTTACACCGTTTTGAAGCAATATTAAAAAATTCGGTTTTGTTTTGCAAATTTAATACCTCGTATATTTTTCTCGATGCACTTTTGCATATAGATAATAGACAAGCTTCACAGAGCTATCGAGTGCGAATCTCTGAAGAGAGCTAAGAACAAAATGATAAACGTCTGGAGGAAATCGTACGGAAAGTAGTTCGTAATACGATGCCGACGAGACGCGATCCCAGATGTTGGAATGGCAATGACGTAGGTCACATTCGCCGCAAATTGCAATAAAATAATACAATAGTCAGAAAGCTAGAACAGATGGAACACTAGGCTGAAAACAATCATTCAAATGCTGATACTCAGTCAAGACGGCCGTGCAGTGCAAATTGTAATCACTGTCTTAAATTAGAAGAAGGACTTTACCTCGTGAGACTAACCACCGTCAATATTGATAAATGGCAGCCTCAGTAGTTACAAGACAGTCAAACAGATGATCCATGTATAAAACGAGTATTGGATTGCGTCGAAGTGAAAGACCTTCTTGGCGAGATATTAGTGCATATAGTCCAGAAATCGAGTGTTACTAGAACCAATGGAATTGTCTAGTGTTAACAGATGATCTTCTGTATAGAACCTTTGAGAACGATGATGCTACAGAATCTAAGCTTCAGTTGATTGTACCTAAAACAAAGTGTCAGAAATATTGCGTCAGTTGCATGACGGTGCGTCAGATGAACACATTGGTATTACGAAGACTCTGCAAAAGATTCGAGAACGGTTCTACTGGGTGAACTGTAGAGATGATGTAAGAAAATGGTGCTGGAATTGTGTGCAACCAGTAATGGTCCAGTTGGTAAAAAGGAGGCACCCATGAAAGAACAATATTGGTAGTTCTATGGAAAGAGTAGCAATCAACATTGCAGGTCCACTTCCAGAGACGAATGATGGAAATAAATATATCCTGGTAGTCATGGATTATTTTACGAAATGGACCGAGGCCTACACGATACCAAAACAAGAAGCTGCTACCGTTGCAGAGGTACTGTTTAAAGAATTCTGTAACCGATTTGGTGTTCCCTTGAAGATCCACTCTGACCGAGGATGCATCTTCGAGTCAACACTTTTTTAAAACGTTTGTAAATTGATTGGTATCAATAAAACCAGAACGACACCCCTGCATCCTCAATCAGATGAAATGGTCGAGAGGATGAACCGAACGATGGATAAACACCTGTCCAAAGTTGTATCAAAACATTAAAGATATTGAGACGAGCACATTCATTTATTCCTAAGGGCCTACCGCTCGACCGTGAATGAAACTACAGGTCAGACTACAACCTGCCTGATGTTATTTCGTGAAGTTCGTGTGCCCTGTGAACGAGAGTTTGGCTGCAGACCTTTCGAAGAACATGTTGTAAGCGAAGATTATGTGGACCGCATGAAATTAAGAATGAACAACATTCATGAACTTCCTCGACAAGACATCCAGTTAGCTAGTGACAGAATGAAATATCAATATGATTTTCAATGTAAGAAGGAAAGGTATGAAGTAGGTTTCGCTTTATAATCCACAACGTCGTCAAGGCTTGTCTCCTAAATTGCAAAGACAATGAGTAGGTCCGTAGGAAATTAAAAAGAGAATAATTGACGTAATATACCTAATTAAGAAATTACTGAAAGGTAAACCAAAAGTAGTTCACATTAATCGTGCAACTTGTAATGGCTCGAATGAAACAGAAGAAGCACGAACCCTTCAAGTTGAGATCAAAGATGACCGGCGACCAAGCTTTAATCAATTTATATCAAATTACGCAGAGAGAAAGAGTGCTAGATTTGGCGTGACCACAGAAGTTCAGCAGGATCTTTATAGTGTTCCGCATAACGTCTCTCTAGCCCACTGTGTTTCCCAATATCTTAAGATGACTAAAGGGATCTAGTCCGTATTTTTGAAAAAATTCGGTCATTTGGACGAGTTAAAAAATCAGCAGCCTAAAGTTAGAAAATTACTGAGATTAGAAGATGGTCCTTGATCTTTTCTGTATATGCTGACCAGAAACTCTTTACAAACAGGGTAACTTACAACGATATATGGCCTGCTCTAACTAATTTGAAGAAAATCATGTGCAATTATGACATGAAGAATTTGGCCTTACCCAAGATACGCCATGCACTAGAAAATCTGGATTATAAGATTGTCAGGAGCATGCTTGAAGTGATCTTCCGAGAAACCAGCGTACGAATTATACTGTGTATTGCATTAATCCGAAGACATCGTGTCCTTTAATGACAGTAGACTGTTATTTTTTTCTGAGCAGTTCAGTTCATGCAGTGTTGAAGAGTCCTATAGATTCTGCCATCCCGGGCCTACATATAGAGTTGCTGATCGGGACGCTCAGATCTAAGAGGGGAGCAGTGTTACGAACATGCATTCGACGTAACTCATATAACGATTACATCTCGATACGACGATGATTTTTCTTTCTAGAAGCTTCCGGAAGTTTCGACCGCCGGAGAGACCGACCCGTCAAACAAATCAATTAGAGGTGGACTACTCCAGAATATTTTAGTACATAATAACTTGTGTATATACGCAGACCTTCTATGAGTTAAAGTTAGTCGAAAAGATATTTTCGTGCTGTACACTATTAAATAAATATATTTATATAAATTAGAACCGCTGGTTTTATTTAAAAAAGGTACAATATGTTAAGAAACAAGTCAATTTAAATGCAATATTACAATATTACAAAAAAGTTTAGGGTAGGGAAAGTTTGGAGACCCTCTAAAATCTAGAAAAATCGGAAGAAAATTTTTTCGCTTTTTCAGTTTCATTGGCTTTGGCATGCTAACATATAATATAAATTTTCATAAAAAAATTTTAAACCGGTTTGGAGCAATATTAAAAAATTTGGTTTTATTTTGTAAATTTAACTTTTATTTTTCTCGATGCATATAGGTAAGACCAAATCGATTTATTTTCATCTCTAAAAATCGTGGTATAATTTATGACCAATCTTTTTGTGACATTACTGTTGATTGGGAAACAAGAATAACAAAACACTACACTACACCTTTTATTATCTATAAATATGTTCTAGATTTTATTTTATAAAATGTTGATTTTACTGATTATTTCGTACCGATTCCTGAAAGTTCCCATATTTCTTCATCAGGGTGATCTAAATATGAACAAATTTCAGATGTTATCGCTTTCATTTTTGAAAGTAATACTATAGTTATCCAGACGTTTGTGTAATGTTATTTTTAATCATTTAATCGATATTGTTTTACGTATTTCACTATTTTTGGTAATATTTGACTTTCTTCAAGGGCCATATTTTAGAGTTATTTCTTATATGACTATCTTAATTTCGTCGATCACTATCTCTAAGATATTTTATGTCCTAAATTTATTATTTTTATTTTTATTTGTATAGTATACTTTTGCACCTAGTGTAACATAATTAACTTCTACGGGATATCAGAAGATATGAAATACTATTGAAGCGAAGTATTTTGTTATGCAATTTTAGTTTTTTAGAACGCTGCCATCATGAAAACTTTATATCGATTTTATAAAGCTTATTTTCCACGAAAATAACTAGAAAACATCTTAAGATGGGCAAGCCTGGCGCTAGTTAGAGAAGCGATTCATGACACAAGACGGGACATCAACAAAATGAACTCAAAGTCATTACAGCTGCACCTTAAATAAGCAATATAATTCATTTGACACTGTGGAATTTTTTTCCCATCCGCCCATACCAATCGTTGCTTGCATGCCAAATTTAATCATTCCCCTTCACAAATTAATTCAGTCATTAAATGCTTGTCTGCATATTAATACGCCCCTACGATGATGCAAGTATACCCGCTGAGCTCTCTAGTTTAAAACAATTCCTTATCCAATACGGTTACTGCGAAAATCACATCAATAGTAGCATCCACAGACATTAATCTCCCACTCAATTTTAACTCAAAGTTTCAGATCCTCGTGATACGAAAGCTTTTCTTCCTTACATCAAAGTTGTCACTAACAAAATCTACAAAATTTCAAAATCAAAAGAAATAAAGACAATATTTACCCCCAACAAAAACATTCATCTCTTGTCTGATTAATCAAAGACATTATTCCAAATGAACAACAAGGAGTTTATGAAATGCCCGTGCAGTGAAATAGGACTTTAAATCATGAATGTGTTGCTTGTGTGAGTCCATTTCAAATAGGTAAAGAAATAATAAATAAGACTTACTCACAATCAATTTAATTTAACTATCAGACGACCGGTTTCGCTTTCTACAAT